GACCAACATGAGGTTGATTCCAACGTGAGGTGAATTAGTATTTAAAGTCCGCCAATGATTAGTAATCATAAAAAATACTAATTGACCTCACGTTGGAACCAACCTCATGTTGGTCCCTCACAATTATTTTGATCCAAATCGATTGTTGAAACCGCTTTGCTTATGGTCTTTACTGTCTCAGAAACATTCATAAATTTTAACTGATTTAAGTTGAAAATAATACGTTAAGTAGTCATACATTAAGACTGCTAAAAAATGATGAAGATTTTCATTCTTTAGAAACCCTTCTTTTTAGCTTTTTGGTGAATATTGTGTAGAAATTTCATATTGCATAAGGGATCGTAATGTGCATCAAAAATGTGTATTGGTAATTTTGATTTTTACGTCACAACATATTCTCTGGAATAGTCTCGAATGAGTTTGATTTAATGATACAGTAGAATCGACCCAATGAATTTTTGAATAACAAGTTACGCTTACGATTTTGGCAAAATTCCTGAGTCCCATTCGTAAAAACAGTTGTTACAGATGATGTGATGCTGAAAATTTTCGTATTTTTATATTAATCTAAAAATTTTAGGTTTCTTAAACTTAGACCCCAAATTTCAGCATCGTGTGCCAGATTATTGGCGTAGTAATCATTACTTATCGAGCGTTTGTAGAAACTCTTTTGGATGAAAATTCCACCTTGCGTTTCGCCAACTGTCCTATAGGCTTTTTTTTCTTTTAATTTACATAACAGAAATATGTAATACTTTATATATATGTAAATAAAGTATGTATAGTACAGAACGTTAATATAATAATTTCAAAAATATGATTAACGAAACTTATAAATTTAGCTTTTAAATGGAAACTTCTTTTTGATAGTTTGGATAGGAAGAGCACTATTATTATTTTGCGTTAATGAATGTCTTATAGCAGGAATGCTTCTTTTGTTTAAATCCAGTCTGGTCCGATCCTAGGATTTAAAAGGACTCGGTCCTTATATCAATTTTTTATAGGACAATCCCCAAAATTCCTGGCCGGAATGAATCGGAGGGTTAGGGTTAGCTATACTGGTTTGGATGCTATAAATTATCAGCTGGGCACTTTTTATTTAGTAAAATTTTTAGTGATCTTGGGCAAAATTGATCAATTCTGGCCCATCCGACCAGGTTCCGATGCATTCCGACCAGGAATTTTGGGATCCTGTATCGATATATAGTAAAAATTTTGTAAATTGATTAAATTGATTGTTTGGTTAATTATCACTGTTGGATCATTGAGAATTTCACTCAAAATATTATTAAAGTTTATTAACGCTATCATGAAACCAAACATTAAGTTGTTATGACCAATATGGTAATGAAAAGATTACCTATTATTCTAATTTTAACGAAGACATTCAAAATTATTCGATAATAGTATTTGGTACAGGGATCATAATATTCATAGTGAATTTGTTGTAAAATAGTTTTGTTCATATTTATGCTTTACCGCCATCTTGTTATATATAATTTCTACATAGTATAAACCTTATCCAAATAATTACTTATCCCTCTACATGGTGTAAACCTTGTTATCCAAATAATTCGAAAAGTTATTTTCAGAAAGAAATACAATATAAAAATTGAGCTATACCAATAAGTCAAATGGCAATTCGGAACAAGGGGATCCGGGACATGGTGTTCCAGGACTTGAAGGTTGATTTTTACTCTTTTTCGCCTGTTTCTTTAATGGGGTTTCTTCAACTGAAGTTAAATGAAGATTGTCTCTTAATTCATCTCCATAAAGCATCGATCTGTAATAACAAAATTTAGTTATTATAAATATCCAACTAGACATCTACAAATATTCGTCTCTTTACCTGCCAATTCATTAGTTCTTTTATGTCTTTTGCAAATTGGTCAAAGTCACTAAAAGAGGCTGGTATCTTAGTACGCATAAAGCGTTGAAGCATATATACAGATGGAAGTGGTCTGACTAAATATTTTATTTCAATAAATCCATCTATAATAATGCACATTCTCGTTATAGTGAACTCTTAATATCGAAAAAATTTTATAACCAGTTTTCAATTGAATACTTGCACTAAATATACACGTGCACGTTCTCTTGGTACAGCTTTTAATAGCTTATTTAAGGTTCTCATGGAGTTACAACACAATTTGAGCTGGTCGCCATCTTTTTTGATTAATGGTGCCTTTCTTCCATATGAAAATTCTATTATAATTATAGGTTGGCTTTTGCCAATTGTCCTGATTACTTTATATAAACCGTCGAATTTATGGTCTTTAGTATCCGGTGTAGTTTGTTCAATCCTTAACGTTAATTAAATCAAATTAGTAGGGTAATACTTGAAACTTCGAATTTTAACATTGATAGTTACCATGCGACAACTAATTCATCCTGATGCATCCTAAATAGGCAATTTAGGATGTATACGATGGTATCGATCGCGAAAGTCCTTTCTAGGTCAAGGCCTTTGTACTCTACTCTCATCGGAGCTTCGAGTCGGACTGAGCTATTAATAGAATAATAAATTGGTTAACATTAATATGAGTTCCAAGTAAAAACCAGGATTCTAAATATAAAACTTTTACAATAAAGAATGTGGGCTTTTAATTGATTCAATCAAAGGTTCGTGTATAATCATTTAAAGCTCACATTCCAGTGTAAAAACACTTACAGATGCATCAAGATTTGCTGAGCAATATCATGTGACTCATGGTGGCACAGATCAAATCGCCCTAATATGTAGGACTTTCGAACAAGAGATGGAACCTCGGCTCGGGTACATGTATTTTTAGTAAATTGTTCAACGTATTGGGTAAATTCGAGTGTTGGTTTCCAAATTTTTTTCTCAATGACTTTTTCAAGCCAATTTAATTGATTTATTTCAAAGATTTTTTTTACATTTTCGTAAATTTCTTCATTTGAAAGATCCAGTATACCATTGAGACACACTGAATTCATGTAAGTTGCACCTGACACTTTTGCTTTATCTTGGTAATCATTTAAAACGGCGAGTAACTTGTTACGAATTTCTGCTTCCTCCTAAGATAGCATTAGAGATATGTATAAACTTTATATTTAAAAAGATTATAGATTACAGAAAATAATACCTGTGTAAGATCTCCAATCTCTTTTGGATCTGGTCTTGTGTCAATTGATACTATGTCGTCTGCTTCCAAACAATTACCTGTGCCTTCACTTTCATCGGTTTCAGCCTATGCACATGGAAAATGAGTCGTGCTTAACATTATCTTCAGATCACATTTTTTATACCCACTCTCAACTTTTTAGTATTAACTAAACCAATACCGCCCGAGGGACGCTTTTCTGACGAACTGAGGTTTAAACAATTGTCTCAGTGGTGTGTTTAGCAGCTGCGTCTAAGATTTTAAAACTTCCTGATATATGGCTATTTAACACGTTAATCTATTTATCATTAACATGAATTATATTAATAATATATTAATAAAAAAATAAACAAGTAAAATAATTATAACTTACTTTCTCCTTTTCATTTATTACGTTTTGCCATTTATATATTAAGAATTTATTTGAAATTTCTGCTTTAACCTATTAAAAAGTAATCAGGACAATTGGCAAAAGCCAACCTATAATTCGAAAAGTTATTTTCAGAAAGAAATACA